TCCATTCCCGGGCTGGTATGTCCCAGATGACCTTCATCCCACAAGCGGCCCCATCGGATGTGATACGCAATCAGAGAGGGGTCTTAGTGTATCTGAGGAGGACAAGAAGTTGGCAAATGAGCAGGAGGATGGGCAGAAGATAAATCATTATAATGAAAAAGAAGGAGGGTTTTTTTTTACATGTTGGGGCCTATTTGGACGGACCGGGAACCATGCCGTGGCATGGGAAATATGAATGCCAACGCTGCAGCGGGAGCACGATTCGGAACGAGCGGAAGCGCGGAAATGAGGTCAGCGTTGCAGCGGGAACACGATTCGGAACGAGCGCAAGTCCGAAATCGTGGCCAGCGCTTCAGCGGCAACAACATGTTGAACAAACCCGAGCGAAAACCCAGTTCCCGGGAATCTTGTGTGTACAATGCAGCACGCGGAGGGGGGCCGGATATCCTCCAGACATCATCAGGGGAGAGAGCAGAGTAGTATTCATATTGTGCAATTGTGGAGGAGGGGGGAAGAAGGGGGGAGGCAGGAGGGGAGGGAGGGAGGGGGGGGAGGGAGAGGAGGGGAGGGGGGAGCGGGGGGAGAGGGGGGAGGGACGGGGAGGGGGGGGGGAGGGGGAGGAGGGATGGGGGAGGGAGGGGGGGACGGAGGGAGGGGGGGCAGCGAGGGAGAGGCCGGGGGGGGAGGAGAAAGAGCAGGAGGAGGAGCTCGAGGCCACTCCGCCCGCGCTGCCCCTCCCGGCGAAACAAGAGCGATATCCTTCCAAGACTGAAGTCGGGCATGTCCCTCCACCGGAGGAATGTTCAAAAATAGTATAAGATTTGTTGTGTTACGATGTTTGATAATTTTTTAAAATAAGGGCTTCGCCCCCTGCCGCCGGCCCCCTCTCTCGGATAATGCGTTATGCAAGAGCTATGTGATGAGGCCTGGGCGCTGTCGTGCAGCAGTATCGGACCTTCATGCGAGGCCGACTCGCAATGAGCAAAACCAATTGATCACCAGAGGGGTCACCATACCTGGCGGTTGGTAAGACGTCGTGACACTGCGGATCTGCACGAGGGGTGCCACCGAATTCTGCACATGTGGCAAATCCCACATGTTTTTGGACCCTGACCCTACGGATCTGCACGAGGGGTGCCACCGAATGTCATACATGTGGCAAATCCCATGTGTGTTTGGACTCTGACCATGCGGATCTGCGCGAGGGGTGCCATCGAATTTCAGAAATGTTGCAAATCCCTTGTGTTTTTGGACCCTGACCATGCGGATCTGCGCGATGGGTGCCACCGAATTTCAGAAATGTAGCAAATCCTTGGTGTTTTTGGACCCTGACCCTACGGATCTGCACGAGGGGTGCCACCGAATTTCAGAAATGTGGCAAATCCCATGTGTTGTTGGACCCTGACCCTACGGATCTGCGTGAGTGGTGCCACCGAATTTCAGAAATGTGGCAAATGCCATGTGTTGTTGGACCCTGACCCTACGGATCTGTATGAGGGTCGCCACCGAATTTCAGAAGTGTGGCAAATCTTTTATGCTTTTGGACCCTGACCCTACGGATCTGCGTAACGGGTGTCGCCGAATTTCAGAATGTGGCAAATCCTTTGTGCTTTTGACCTTGACCCCGCCGATCTGCGTGAGGGGTGCCACCAAATTTCAGAAATGTGACACATCCCGTGTGTGTTTTGGACCCTGATCCCGCCGATCCGTGTGAGGGGTGCCAATTTTTACCCCCCCCAGCAATTCTGAGAACCCTCCCAGGGCGTGATAACAAATGCACGTTTTGCGCCCCCCCCCCTCGCGCGGTCCATCAACAAGGAACAGTAAGCAGCAAGAAGTCAACAAGGAACAGTAAGCAGCAAGAAACAGAACTGTAACAGTGGAAACTGGAAGCTGCAACTGGTACAGGAAACTGCGAACCTTAGGCCTACGCCCTGGTGGCCCCACAAGGGGGCCGGCGGATTTTCTTCATTTTTCGTCCGAAATCCGATGCGTGGTCCCAGGGGGTCCGCACCGCTTCTCCGGGGCCAGTTTTTCGGGGGTGGACGGAACCCCCACCCTGACACGTCGATTCGTAAATTGTCCGCTGTCGGTTCTCGAAGGGGCGCTGCGGCCGTCGTTTTCCAGGCCTGCGCCCTCCAGGTTTGGGCCCGAGGTCGCTTTCACCAAACCACATCTTGCTAAAGGGGGTTCTGTCAATCCCCGAGTTGTCCGTCCCGAGTCGTTTCTCTCGACGCTCCCGAGGCCTGCCTGGCGAGGGCCCCCGGAGGCCCCGCCGCTCCAGAATGCTTGTTGGGGCGTCGGGCCTCCGGGTCGGAGGAGTCGTCCTGCCTCCTCCGTCTTCTCCTCCTCCTCTGCCTCCTCCTGCTCCTGCTGCTCCTCTTCTTCCTCCTCCTCCTCCTCCTCCTCCTCCTCCTCCTCCTCCTCCTCCTCCGTCCTCCCTCTCGCCCTGCTTCGCGGGCGGGGGCGGGGGCGTCGGCCTTCGTCGCCCCCCCGGGTCGTGGCCGGGTGTGGTGGCAGTCTTTCGCCGCCCGGCCTCGCGACACGCCCCCCGGCGGGCCACGTGCTCGACCAGCTCCTCGGGGGCGGCTCGGGCTGCGGTGAGCTGGTGGCAGTCAGGACTGACAGCAAGGGCCCAGAGATCCGACGCTCCAAGAAAGGTAGGGGCGGCAGATTTCGGCAGTTTTGGGCCTCCGGGGGCCCTCGCCGGGTCTCGGGGGCGTCCAAAAACGGCTCGGGACGAAAAATTGGCCCGGGGGAAGTGGTCCGGACCCCCGGGGCCCACGCAACGAAAAAATTGGAGCGGCCAGATGTCTGGGGATGCAAGCCCTTTTCCAGCAGTGGCGAAGCGTCCTGGCTCGCCTACGGGCCCACCAAAGAGTACTCTAAGAACCTTTTGAGTTTTGCACGAGGTGTTATTAGAAAATGTCTGGCTGATATTGTTTTGTTTTGTTTTGAATGTATCGGCCTGATGGTCCACGACTAGCATTGTTGTTCTTAGAACATTGCTTTGTTCTAAGAACTCTTCGTGGTAGGCTTATAGGAATGTCGGGACGGTCGGTCCCTGCTCAAAGTAAGAATGCGCGATAAGGATGCAAACCCCTTGGACGCCCGTGTTGAAAAGCCTTTTCGAGCGCGGCGGGCCATCGAAGGCAGTCCAGGATGGACCCGAGAGGTGCGGATTCAAGAGTAATGGGCATGCAGCCACGGGGCCCCTCCTCTCCCTTTTCCCCCTTCGCCTTCCCCTCCCTCCGACTCGTGCTTCTCCCCCTGGTTCTTCCTGTTACTCCTCCTGCCCTTTCTTGCTCATCCTCCTTTCCCCCTGTTCCTGCCATCTCTCTCTCTCTCTCGTTCTCTCACTTTCTCCGCTCTGCTCCGCTTCCTCCTAGTCATCACCATCATCATCATCATCATCATCATCATCATCATCATCATCAGCATCATCATCATCATCATCATCATCATCATCAATATCATCATCATCAGCATCATCATCAACATCATCATCATCAGCATCAGCATCAGCATAAGCATCATCATCATCACCATCGTCATTATCACCACCACCATCATGATCGCTACATCACCATCACAATCACTATCATCATCATCATCATCATCACCATCATCACCATCATCATCATCAGCAGCAGCATCAGCATCAGCATCACCATCATTATCCTCAACATCATCATCATCATTACAGCGTTCATTTTAGCTCGTACCAATCATCATCATCATCACCATCATCATCCTCATCATCATCATCATCACCATCATCATCATCATAATCATCATCATCCTCACCATCACGATCACCAGGACACGTCGAGCGGAGCATCGTGAGGGCGAGCAGCCTCCATTCGCACAGGTGTCATGGCTACCAGCTGCACTCTGTTTTTTGTGCCCCCCCCCCGCCCGTCAGCCTGTGAGCTCTTGGACGCCGGGCACGTGTATGCAAGCAGTGCAGTGGACATGCTCCGCGAGCAGTGCCTCTAGATGCCTCCCGCTGAGGTCGGCCACATGCGATGATATGCAAAGGGAGGTGGTAGAGTTACTCGCCGTGAAATTTGGATCATCACGCACGTGTGAGACGGAGTCAGAATTCAACATCGTCATCATCATCATCATCATCAGCATCAGCATCAGCATCAGCATCATCATCGTGGTCATCATTATCATCATCGTCGTCATAATCATCATCAGCATCGTCTTCGTCATCATCATCATCGTCGTCATCACCATCATCGTCATCATCACCATCATCGCCATCGTCATCATCAGCATCAGCATTAGCAGCATCAGCATCATCATTATCATCATCATCATCAGCATCATCATCGACATCGACATCACCATCATCATCATCACCAACATCATCACCATCATCGTCATCGTCGTCCTCATCATCGTCATCATCGTCATCATCACCATCATCGTCATCAACGTCGTCGTCGTCATCGTCGTCCTCGTCGTCCTCGTCGTCGTTGTCGTCATCACCATCACCAGCACCAGCACCAGCACCATCATCATCACCATCTTCATCCTCGCCCCGCCCCCCTTCCCACTGCCCATCTCCCCCTCCACCTCCCCTCTCCCCAGCAGGGGGTCGCCACCGCCGTGGCCCGGGGCGCGCCCCGGCCGAGCGTGCCCTGCCGCACGCGCCGCGCACGCGCCGCCAGGGCCTCGGGGCCGAGGTCGCGCGCGGCAGGGAGGAGAGGAGAAAGAGGGTGGGCCGCCATCTCGCCGCCGCCCGCGCGGGCAAGGGGCCGCTCCTCCAGGCGGGGTGGAGGGAGCCCGATGATCCGGTCGATCGCCAGACCCGAAACATCAGACTCTGGGCCCGTGCACGAGAGTCCCAAGTGGCAGGTTGGTGTCCATGGGACGCTTGGGGCTGGTAAAGCAACCGTGGGCCGTGGGGGCAGGGGCCATGGAATTGCCAGAGTGCGAGCTTTTTCCGTACTCAAGTGAAGAAAAACCACCCGGACAGACAGTTGGCGTTTACTAAACGGCCCTGGGCGTTTACCAAAAAATCTTGCCCTGTCAGTTCGATTCTACAGGCTTACGCCACGTCCGCCGACCCCTTCTGTGAGTGTTGCGAGGCCAGGAGTTTCTGGCCAGCGGCGTCTTGTGTGATGGTGCGGTGTCGCGCGCGGGTGGTGGCAGATACGTAGGGTGTCCAAATGTTTGCGTGGACCAACGGAAGGCGAAAGGAGCAAGAGTGGTGTGCGGAAGCTGTGATCAGCGGGGCATCACCCGGTGAAGAGGCTGTTGACGTTCGCAGCGTGCACGAAGCAGTTCGCGCGGCAGCAACACATTAGCGCCGAGCAAGAGATAGTGAGCACTTCGCGAGGAAGAGTAAGGCTGTACGCGCGGAGTGCATTGCAGTTGGCTTCACGGCTCGCAATGCGGAAGCGTCTGGGGGTCTTTGGGGGGCCTCCTGGGGGCCTCTTGGGGGCTCCTTGGGGCGTCTTGGCGGCCTCTTGGGGGCCTCTGGTGGCCTCTTGGGGCACTCTTGGGGCCCCCTGGGGCTCGTGGGGGCGGAGAGCTCGATTTTTGAATTTTTGGTTGCCTTCTTGGGCCCCTCTTGGTGCCGTCTTGGAGCCTTCTTGGGCCGTCATGGGGACCTCTTGGGCCGTCTTGGGGCCATCTTGGGCCGTCGTGGGGCCGTCTTGGGGGCTTCTTGGGCCGTGTTGGGGCGGTCTTCGGGGCCTCTGGGGCCGTCTTGGAGCGTCGGAAAGCCCACGGGGCGAATTCGTGAAACAAAGACGTTTCACGAAGGAGATGAGCACACTTTTGCGTGTAGGGGCCCTCTTGGGACGCATCTTGGAGGCCTCTTGGGGGCCTCTTGGGCCATCTGGAGGCCATCTCGGGTGTCTTTGATCGCTTTTGGGCCGTGTGGGACCATCTTGAGCTCTCTTGGAAGCCACTTGGAACGCTCCTGGAGCGCTCTTGGGGCCGTCTTCGTGGCCCTCCAGGGCCGTCTTGGACGCCTGTTGGGCCGTCTTGGGGCCCTCTTGGGCTATCTTGGGGCCCTCTTGGAGGCTTCTGGGGCGGTCTTGGTTGGTCCTGGGGGCCTCTTGGGCCGTCTGGGAGCATCGGAAAGCCCAGAGGGCGAATGTGTGAAACTTGAACGTTTTACGGAGGGAATGGGCAATTTTTTGCGTTTAGAGACCCTCTTGGGGCGCATCTTGGAGGCCTCTTGGGGCCTCGTGGGGGTTTCCTGGGGCGTCTGGAAGGCCTCTTAGCCCGTTTTTGGGCCATCTTGGGCGTATTGGAGCGCTCGTTTGGCGTCTCGAGGCCCTCGTGGGCTGTCTTGGAGGCCTCTTGGGGCGTTCTTGGCCAGTCCTTAGGCCCTCTTGGGCCCGGAACAGCCCCGTGGTGCGCTCGTCCGGGGCGAGGGGGGGGGGGGTCGAATCTCCGGTTTGGGGTCCCTGGGGGGGGGTTACGGGGGGGGGGGAACTATTTCACACGCCTAGAGACCCACCCACAAGGGGTCGGCGGATTCTTGCCTTGGGTGCGTTTACGAAACGGTTTCGCTCGTCGGGGTGATCATCATCGGGGTGGATTTTCTGTCCTCCAGAGGGGGGGGGCAGGGGAGACGAAAGGGGGCGGCACACGGGCGAGAAGGAGACAAGGGCGGCAGGAGGATCAGCACAAGGGCGGGAAAAGCGCGGAGGAGGCAGGGTCAGGGGCGGGCAACGCGCGCGTCTATCTCTCTCTCTCTCTCTCTCTCTCTCTTTTTCTTGCCCTCGTCTTCTTTTTATGTTTTTTCCTCTTTTACTTTTGCTTCTTATTATTATTATTATTCTCAACCCTCCTGTGGTTGGGTGCTCGTTTTGAATAGAGCAGCGTGGTCGCCCCATCCCCCTCCTCCTCCTCCTCCTCCTCCTCCTCCTCCTCCTCCTCCTCCTCCTCCCCTCTCCTCCCCTCCCCCTCCTCCTCTCAAGTTTCCTGTGCTCCCTTCTCCTCTTCTCTCGTGCCGTCTGCGATCTGCGCAATTGTCGCCACCCTCGTGGGCTCCTGGGAGGCCCCGCAGGGGTACATCCCACGCGGACCACCTCGGGACCTCGCCGACCCGTGGGGGGCTTGCGATCTGCGCAACTGTCGCCACTTTCGTGGGCTCTTGGGAGGTTCAGCGGAGGTACGTCCCACGCGGACCACCTCGGGACCTCGCCGCCCCCTGGGGGGCTTGCGATCTGCGCAACCGTCGCCATTTTCGTGGGCTCTTGGGAGGCCCAGCGGAGGCACGTCCCACGCGGACCACCTCGGGACCTCGCCGTCCCCTGGGGGGCTTGCGATCTGCGCAATTGTCGCCACTTTCGCGGGCTGAGGGAAGCCCAATGGAGGTACGTCCCACGCGAACCACCTCCGGACCCCGCCGCCCCTTGGGGGGCTTGCGATCTGCGTAACTGTCGCCACTTTCGTGGGCCCGTGGGAGGTCCAGCAGAGGTACGTCCCACGCGGACCACCTCGGGACCCCGCCGCCCCCTGAGGGGCTTGCGATCTGCGCAACTGTCGCCACTTTCTTGGGCTCCTGGGAGGCCCAGCGGAGGCACGTCCCACGCGGACCACCTCGGGACCTCGCCGCCCTTTGGGGGGCTTGCGATTTGCGCAATTGTGGCCGCTTTCGTGGGCTCCTGGGAGGCCCAGCGGAGGTACGTCCCACGCGGACCACCTCGGGACCTCGCCGGCCTCTGGGGGGCTTGCGATCTGCGCAACTGTCGCCACTTTCGTGGGCTCCTGGGAGGCTCCTGGGAGGCCCAGCGGAGGCACGTCCCACGCGGACCACCTCGGGACCTCGCGGCCCCCTGGGTGGTTTGCGATCTGCGCAACTGTCGCCACTTTCGTGGGCACTCCCCGCGGACCACCTCGGGACCTCGCCGCCCCCTGGGGGGCCTGCGATCTGCGCAACTGTCGCCACTTTCGTGGGCTCCTGGGAGGCCCAGCGGAGGTGGGTCCCACGCGGATCACCTCGGGACCTCGCCGCCCCCTGGGGGGCTTGCGATCTGCGCAATTGTCGCCACTTTCGTGGGGCTCCTGGGAGGCCCAGCCGAGGCACGTCCCACGCGGACCACCTCGGGACGCGGACCACCTCGGGACCTCGCCGCCCCCTGGGGGGCCTGCGATCTGCGCAACTGTCGCCACTTTCGTGGGCTCCTGGGAGGCCCAGCGGAGGTGGGTCCCACGCGGACCTCGGGACCTCGCCGCCCCTGGGCTTGCGATCTGGGACCTCGCCGCCCCCTGGCT